CCCCTGATCATTTTAGTTGCCCTCCCCTCTCCCACACTCTCTCTTCCCCTCTCCTGCCTCCTTTTCCCAATCTCCCCGAGTTTTGTTCAATAAAGGGAGTTTCTATTTTTGAACACACGTGTCCTTTATTTTGTACATCAGGAAGTGGGGGTTAGGGACGGGTAAGTGGAAGGATGTGAGGGAGGAATGGGGTATGAGCCCCCAATGTGGAGGACTGGGGTGGCTCTGCGGGCTCCTCGGGGTGGAAGCTCTCCTGCAGCCCCCCGATTGACACACCCCCCAGATGGCAGCCTGCAGCAAGTGCAGCCGGGCTGATGGCCGAGTGCTGTGATGTGCCGAGTGTGGGCACTCAGGGCACTCCAAGCCAGGACTGCTTTGCAAGCGGGGAACCCCTGAGAACTGTCTGTCTGGGGGGGGAGGGGTCGGGTCCCTTTAAGCACAGCCCTCGGCTAGCCTGAGACAGCAGCTCCACACTCTAAGTCCTAATCTGATGCCCTGCCGGCACTGCTTCCGGCCAGCCTTAACCTCGGTTCAGGGTCCACTCAATGTGGACATGCTAGTTCGAATTAGCAAAACGCTAATTCAAACTAGTTTTTAGGTCTAGATGTGTTAGTTCAAATTAGCTTAGTTCGAATTAACTAATTCGAATTAAGTTAGTTCGAATTAGTGCTGTAGTGTAGACATACCCTGGGTGAGTGGTTTACACAGCATGAATCAGCCCGACAATTGTGAGACTGGCTTGAAAAGATCACCAGACCTGCTTGAAATTCACAAGATTGACTTTTAAAAAAACCATCAGCTTGATTGAGAATGGGGAGGTTTGCTAAAACGTCCGGAGTCAACCTGACAACCACAAGATTGGTTGAAAAAAATCAGCAGCTGATTTCCACCTCCTGAGATTTGCTTTAGAATCATGGAATCCACCTGAAAAGCTACAGGCTCCCTCTGAAAATCGTCAGATCAGCCTGACAGTTGTGAGATGGGTTTCACGGTGAAGAGATTCGATTAGAAATGATGAGACGGGTTTCCCAATTCCCTATGTCACACACGGGTCTGGGATGTCTCTTGCCTTGGTACGGATGGGCTAAGGAGCTGTCGCCGCTATGAAGTCTTGAAGTCTGAGACGTGATAGAGTTCAAGTTTTATCAGGTGCCACTCCAGGAACAAGGCTGCAGTTACACAGCTGTTGTGCTTGTTGTGTGGACAAGCCCTGGGAAGTCATATTCAGCTGATTTTCCATCACAGCCCCCAAATCATTCTGGGCATGTCTACACTGGGGAAATTATTTCAAAATAACGTATTTTGAAATAACAATTTCCAAAGTAACTATTTCGAAATAGCATGTCCACACTACGGGGAAGCCTCGAAATGAGTTTGAGGCCAGCTCCCTTAAAGTGGATACGCTACCTTGACTTAGAGTAGCTGAAACAAAAGACAGGACTATGTAGCACTTTAAAGACTAACAAGATGGTTTATTAGGTGATGAGCTTTTGTGAGCCAGACCCACTTCCTCAGATCAATTTGTGGAAGAAAATTGGCACAACAATATATACCAGACTAACACGGCTGCATCTCTGTCACTTGACTCAGAGTCGTTATTTTGAAATAGCAGCACTGAAGCATCCACACTACCGCTATTTTAAAAAATAATTTAGCGAATTTAGCATTATTTCTCGTAGAAAGCAGGAGTTTTTATTTCAAAATAACCATCCCATTATTTTGAAATAGCAGGCGCAGTAGTTAAACTAGATGGGTTTATGAAGGGGATGGTTTGATGAGATAACATGATCTTGGTAACTAATTGACCATTCATTATCAGTGGGAAATAGGTCAATGGAGGGTTGATAGGAGTTACTATAGAGGATTTTCTGGCTGTCTGGCTGGTAAGTCTTGCCCACATGCTCAGGGTTTAGCTGATCGCCGTATTTGGGGTCAGGAAGGAATTTTCCTCCTGGGTAGATTGGCTGAGGTTTTTTGCCTTCCTCTGTAGCATGGGGCACAGATCACAGCTGGAGGATTCTCTGCATCTTGTGGTCTTCAAAGTATTTGAAGGCTTCAATATCTGAGGTATAGGTGAGAGGATTATTCTAGGAGGGGGTGGGTGAGATTCTGTGGCCTGCACTGTGCAGGGGGTCAGACTAGATGATCATAATGGTCCCTTCTGACCTTAAAGTCTATGAGTCTATGAGTAGTGTGGACACTCTACTTGTTATTTCAAAATAAGGAGAGTTATTTCAAAAAACTCCCTAGTGTAGACCAGGGCTCTGAGAGTAACTGCTAGTCTGGGTAGAGTCCCCCATCCTCTGATTCTTGGCGACTTACTTTGCTCCTAGATGTATGAACTTACGAAAAGCCATTAACAACCCCATGTCAAACTTCAAGATCTGGCAATGATGAGACTCATGGACCCAAATCTCACATGATTTTAGGACAAGTCTCATGAGGATGGGTGGGTTTCACAAAGCCTCGAGCTCCTGGATCACGTGACTCATGGGAATCTGAGGTTTAGGCAAAAACAAAAAATCACTTTCTAGATTGAGGGTTGGGGAGGGGGAGCTGGGAAGCCAACGCTTAGAGCCATCAAAAAACTGTGAATAAACAAGCCCAAGCTCTATTGGTTGGTTGTTTGGTGGTGGTTTATTTATTTTAATTCTGTGGTTTTTTTTCAGTCAATCTCACAACTTTGGGTTGGGCCCAGACTTGCTGATTTTGAACTCTTGGGGCAAGAGATACTAATGGCAAAAGATGGGGAAAGCACAGGCTGATTCTAGAGAAAAAGAGGCTGTGACAGAGAACAGAGAGGTGGATTGCACTCATAAACCACAGCTGGCTGGAAAATGAGGTTCCCGTTCCATGGGAAATTCAGGGCTGCTTAGATATGCTGGAGGGCAGGGATAGACGAATTGAAGGATTAGGCCATTAGGCCAAAAGAAATCAGGATCAACAAGCACAAGTGCAGAGTCCTGCCTTTGGGACGGAAGAATCCCAAGCGTTGTTACAGGCTGGGGACCGACTGGCTAAGTAGCAGTTCAGCAGAAAAGGACCTGGGGGTTACAGTGGATGAGAAGCTGGATATGAATCAAGAGTGTGCCCTTGTAGCCAACAAGGCTAATGGCATATTTGGGTGCATTAGGAGGAGCATTGCCAGCAGATCTAGAGAAGTAATTGTTCCCCTTTATTTAGCTCTGGTGAGGCTACACCTTGAGTATTGTGTCCGGACCCCCCACTATAGAAAGGATGTGGACACATTGGAGAGGGTCCAGTGGAGGGCGACCAAAATGATTAGGGGGGTGGAGCATATGACCTACGAGGAGAGGCTGAGGGACTTGGGTCTGTTTAGTCTGCAGAAGAGAAGAGTGAGGGGGGATTTGAGAGCAGCCTGCAACTTCCTGCAGGGAGGTTCCAAAGAGCTGGGGAAAGGCTGTTCTCAGTAGTGACAGATGCAGAACAAGGAGCAATGGGCTCAAGTTACAGTGGGGGAGGTCTAGGTTGGATCTTAGGAAAAACTATTTCCCTAGGAGAGTGGGGAAGCGCTGGGATGGGGATGGTTGGGGAAGCGCTGGGATGGTTCCCTAGGAAAGTAGTGGAATCTCCACTTTATCCTCTAGTGGCCCCTTTTAGTGCTTCCCAGCGGGTTTCTAGCCCCACCTGCGGCTCTGTCTTTACAGAATCTCAGCACTGGGTTGGGCTGTATCCTCAGGCTTCCCCCTTGGAGCCACTATTCTCTGGGGCTTCCCCCCGTCTCAGTCCTCACCCACCCTGCAGCCAGCCAGGGGCTCCCTCACTGCTCCCTCGGTCCCCCCTTGCAAATGGTCCTGAGCTCAGTCCAAGCTGCCAGCCAGGAGCCTCCTGACCCCCTCCCCTCGTCATTGCCTCCGACTTAGTCGTCGTGCTGCAGCTCCTGTCACCCAGCCATTTCCACGTCTCCATGCCGGATCCCTCCACCTGCCCTACA